CACCCAGTTCATTTGATAATGTTTCAGTCTCTTCAGATAAACGTGACAACGCATCAGGAAGCACATTCGAAACACCAGGCAAATGAACGATCTTAAAGTCATACTGTAAAATCGTGTCCATCCATGCGATCATCATCAGATTCGCAACACGTTGGGTGTGAAGATATGTCAATGCCTTGTGATCCGTGTACAAGGTAAAGTGAGAACCATAGACATACTTGTGAAAACGCTTGAGTGCAAATACTAACGCTAGTAATTCTCTTTTGGTCGCAGAATACTTTCTTTCACTTTGGGATAAGCTCTTAGCCACGAAAGAAATATATTTTTTCTTGCCATCCTTGACTTGATACAACACTGCACCAATACCAGTAAGAGATGCATCACAGCTGATACTAAAAGGAGAGTTCATATCTGGGTACGACAACACCAGATCACTCAAAAGTGCTTTTTTCAAGTTATTAAATGCAGTTTGATGCTTATCTGTCCATAAATGGGTAATCAACTTTTCATTTCTCAATGAATCTAGTGGCGACATAATGGAAGATACATTCGGAATCAACGTTCTAAAATAGTTGATCAACCCACAATAACTTTGGATATCTTTACCCGTCTTTGGTTGAGGAAATTCAAGAACATTAACAAGTTTTCTGCGGTCCATTGTAATTCCTTCAGGTGAAATATGAAAACCAAGCAAATAAATTTCTTTCTGAAAGAAATGACATTTTTTCGGATTCAACTTCAAATTGACTCTTGTTAATCTCTCAATCACTTGCTTCAAGTGTTCCTTGTGTTCCTCGAACGTTTTGCTTGCACAAACAATGTCATCCACAAAAAACCGTACAAAAGATAGTCCTTCCAAAGCTATACTCATAGTTCTTTGAAATTGTGAACTGACATGCTTTATACCAAACACTGTACCAATAGGTTTGTACTGTACACCACGCCATGTGAAACTAAGTTTGTGTGTGTCCTTTGGGTTCAACCTCAAAGAATTAAACGCAGATTTCAAATCCAGAGTGGAATAAATATTCGCACCCTTTAAATCTTCAAACAATTCACCGATCAATGGCAAAGGCATACGATCAATTGACTTCAACAGGCAATTAATTAATCTGGGATCATGGCAAACGCGATATCCAGTAATTTCTCCTTTACCGTTTGTCTTCTTGACAACAGTCAAAGGCGTATTCCATTGTGTGTTTGCAGACGCTCTTTCAATTATACCATTGTCCAGCCATTCTTTCACCTGTTCATCCACTACACCTTGCATCTTGTAAGGAATGGGATAAGGGCTTCTGAACGCCGTAGCATTTTCTGGGGTGTCCAAACATACAACACTTTCAGGTATAGTACAAAACGAACCCTTAGGAATATCTTGATTGTCTTTAATGAATGGTCGAATATAATCCATAGCATCCTCAAACTGTTTGGGACCTACAGCCGGATTATTTTCCTTTCGTTCATTTTCTCTCTCAATGGATTCAAGAAGATCACTCTTATTGTTGAAGCGTCTATCGGCTTCTCTACGTTCCTCACTTGAATCAGCATCATCATATGATAAAGGTAAACCATAAATACCAATACCAAGAGAAGACATATAATCAGTACCAATACTGAAATCATACTCATGACTATTAGTTAAATTCATCACTTCAAACTCGCGTTGAATAGTCTTACTATTGCAAGTTACACTGATCACACAAGTACCGATTCTTTTAATCTGGGTATTGCTATCAGCCAAACGAATAAAATACTTATGAACATTGTTTTTGTTCAACAAATCTTTATTAATGTGATTGATGTAACTAATGGCTATTCCATTCTTCAAGCAAAAATTCTTGTCCACCGAACTGAACGTGGCCCCACAGTCCAACAAGGAGATGGTTCTAATGGAATTATTTGCCAAAATAGGAAAGGTAATATTAGTGCTCATGTTCTTAAAATCTCTTTTAATAACCATGTCTTTAAGATTGTACTTACAATCTAATGCCATCTTGGCCAGAGCACTAGTGTTGTCTTGGTACTCTGACCAAGACAACGAGGGACTCCCCTCAACCACAGTGGAAGCTCTTGCTGGTCTACCAGCAGAGGAGCGGACTGCCATCCTTGACACCTTTGTCAAGTACTTCTCCCGTTCCGGACAGGAGTGTCCCTTAACCCAGGGAGCCTTGCATGAGAAACAGATGCCATCCTTCATCGCCTTCTTGAAGTCCCATGCCTTCTTGGGAGACTGAGAACCACGCTCGCAAGAGAAAGACCTTTTCTTTCCCTTGTGGGAACCAGCAGAGAGAGAGGACGCACCATTGTGAGCAGCAAACGAACTCCAGGAGGACGCGGCAGTACCATTGGCAGGATTATGTAACAAAGCAGTGGAGTCACTTGTTGACACACTCACCAACGAGATGATGTCCTCAATCTTTGAGGGCATCTTGGTGCCATAGTTGGCTGACAAAGGAATGAGACAAGCTTCCCGGACTTCCGGACGCAGATTCCACCAGAAGCAGAGAACCAATTGAACACCATCGTCCAACGAGGCCTGGCGGCGGAACTTTTGGAATTTGGCACCAAAAGAACGAGCGGATTCTCCTTTGCCTTGTTTCATGCACCAGACACGACCCATGTTCAGGAACTTACGGAACGGCGTGTCATAGTGATCTAGAAGAATACTTTCGGCCTTCTTCCAGTTGTAGGCCTTGCCTTTGAGCTTGTCCTCAAACCAAGAACGTTCTTCCTTGTTCAAACAAGTGGGCAACAGACGTTCCCAGCAGGAATCCAAGGTCAGAGAGTGTGCTTCCAGGACTGTGGTAAACTCCTGGCAGAAGTCATACACCGAATCGAACACATCGCGGTTGGCCTTCACCAGAGGACCCTCAGAACGAAGCTGGAGAAAAGGTAGGTTACTGGGAACCAGAGTGCTTCTCTTGTCATGAGGCTTAGACGCAGGAGCAGTGGAAGCCTTGAGGTCCTTGAGGATTTGCTCAGCCTCAGCAAACAGTACTTGTGCTTCCTTGGCACCCTTGGAAGCAGACTTGGCAGCAGTAGAGGTGGGATCCCTCTTGGAAACACCCAAGTAGTGGCCTAGAGCGGCATAGTAGTTGCCCTTCTTAGTGTTGAGGTCCTCCTCAGCAGAAGCCAGCAACATTTCCACGGTGGCCACAAGGTTGTTGTTAACTCTGACTCCAGAGTTACCCAAATAGATGCGAGGAGAATTGGCACCCTCATAACCAGAACGGCCAGCATCGGAACCAGAAGAACCTTCTTCAGAATCAAAGACACCGTCCTCAGAACACAAGGGAGTCATCACGGTATCACCATCGTGGTCGGCAGAACCAGCAGCAGAAGGAGGAGGAATGACACCAGAGTTGACACGGGCGGTTTCTTCACCAGAAACAATAGTAGAGTTGACAGCGGATTGTTGAGACATTTCGAGAATTCAAAGTAAAAAATGTGGTATTTCAGGTACGAAACAATAGAAAAATAAAATATTTGATAATAGAGACGTATAGAAATACTTTGAGACTGTATATAAGTTGTCTTTATTCATAAATAAAAAGTGTCCCTTTTTATAAGAAAACACAATCTGCTCTTGTCATTACGTCTTAGTTTCTTAAGGCTTTCTTCCTTTACTATATTTGGTTATTAGAGTGTATTTACTGCTTAACTAGTGTCGGTGTTACAATTATGACATCAAGTCATAAATCGTACTTCTTTAGCTCTTAGCTATTCTTTTCTCTTTTATACTAGAGCTTTAGGACTTCCTACTAAATTAGCTCCATATCGATCTGACACAGTTTACCCGGCAGTATGATATAATTATCTTAACAATCTTTAAGATATTATCTACAGTACTAACTGTAATAATTATTGGGCTGATTACTTAATCGTTTATATATATTTTATACTGACAAGATGATAGCTACTACGCTATCCCAATATGAATATGTTCTTATATGTGATAAATCCAACATCCGAGTGTCTGGATCACCACATGTGTGTTGTTGCTGTAATCGTACAATGTGTGACAATTACTGCATGCTACATATTTTGATATGCCATTTGTCAAGTCATTGTATCCTGTCATTTTCCTCCAACCCGGAATGCTTGTGGGAAGTCGGAAATCCTCTCCATAATGTTCGAGGATTGTATTTATGAATGTAATCAAAATTACTGCGCCTTCATCCACAATGAAGCTAGAAATAAATATCACAGTGAAAACCGCAATTACTCGATGCCAAATATTCTCTGGAAGGTTTTCTGTAGACTCTGTAAGTTATCATAAAATAATATTAATTTTTTGTTTCTTTAAGTCAAACCTTTTTTCTTCAATCATAGTTTATTTTTAATATTTACCCTGTTCTTGCTCAAATTCATCTGACGACTCATATTCAGACTCATACTCTGAGGTATACTCCTCTGTTTCAAAAAGAGATTCTTCCACCAAAAGAGGTAAGTGGGTATTGACATACTGCTCTGGTGAGGGTGCACCATCGGAGTAATTATCATCTATTGGTACCAAGTTTAAATAGAGTGCGCATTGGGTATAAAAAATAAAATACTATTACATTCAATATGTTCTTCAATTTGATCTACGTCCATATCAGCTTCACCAGTGTTTACTTCGGCTGTCAAAACTATTTGTTCTAATGGATTAGAATACATCATATAAATAAATGAAAAATTGATAACTTAATTTACCATTAATGGTTTTATCCATATTCCTGTCATTATCATTCTGGGCATGACGCTTGGCAGTTCTTTTATCTGTCATGGTGTATCCAAGAGGATTGCGATTGCATCTTGTGCATTTGCAACGAACTTCATCGGGATTGGCAATGGAAAACATTTTTTCACTTAATTTTTTTTAATAATAAAGGAAGTGTGTAACAGCCGTTGCTTATTATAATTGTCTTTATTATTTTGAAAAAATTCTCTCAGTGACTCTGATATATATTAGGCCAATGATATGTCTTTAAATATATTCTCGCTGCTAAACACAGGAAATGACCTGGGTTGTAATTTTTTGGCTACTATTATCGATAATTCCAGGTAAGTGGAATTCAATTATTTTAAGGTGTTTTTGCAGTGTTTGCTTCACACAAGGTTCTTGGTTTGGTGACTATTTTACATATCATCGTGCTCAACCTTCCTTCAGTGGTCCTTTACAAGTGCAAGCTAATGATCCAGATTGCAATGATCCCTGCCACAACTGTACCTGCCGACTTCTGGTCATTTCTTGAGCCAATCATCAAATCACTTGAGATACTGCAAGCAGACAAAATGGTGATAAAAACACCAACAAAGACAATGAGAGCAAAAGTCCATGTTCTCATGGCAACTGATAACATTTTAGCATTGACAAAGCTGGCATGTCATGCTGGCCATACAAGCAAAAATGGCTGTTGTATCTGCAATGTTGTTAGACAAACTTCAGGTCATGGCCAATATTTCAGAACCTTGCCAAGCAACATCATTCGCATCTTAGGGAGCTTCAGAAGTTTCAACCCTGATATTGTGTTGTGTAAGGGCCTCAAAGAACAATCTCTATTTGCTTCATTGACATCATTCACAGACCCATTTTTCTTTGCCCTTGATGAGATGCATGGTCTTTGTCACAGAATCAGCAAGCAGATCTGAGAGCTTGTTTGCAGGAAGTATGGATCTAAGCATCCCCTTTTCCTCTCTGCTGGAGCACAGAAGGAGATAGGCGCGGCAATGGAAGGAACAAGAGGATCGATCCCAACATCCTTCCACAGTGCTTGGAGAGACATGGCAAGACATGCAAGATATTTCCGAGCTGCATACTAGGTCAATTTCCTTCTGTTTGTGGTTTCCACTCTGGTGGTGGAGCATGACCACAATCAAGATGTATGGAAGACATTGCTTGGCCTTGTGCAAGCATGCACTCTACTCATGAGCTGAGAGTTATTAGTGGAGGAACAAACCTCTATAAAAAGGTATGTTTAGTAGTATTCAGAGTTTTATTTTTGGAACTTATTCTGATCTTTCTCTTAGAAATCCTATTAAGTAAAATTCGTACCTGAAAGGTCATTTCTAAAATAGTAAAGTTGGAATAGAAATATTCACTCTCAACCAACACCTCTTGCAGCATTACCCGGCAATGATTGATGCATTTGGCCCTCCCAGAGCGTACAGCACCAGATTGCTAGAGAAAGCTATTGGAGAATGTTCTCAGTTGATAAAGGGCAATTCTGCTATTGGTGCAAACGCCAGGAACATCATGCTGAGACTTGCCCATACAAGACGTGTGGATGTAAATGGAGCCATTATAGTTAAGGCAAGGACAATAGCATGAATATTGCAATACAATAACGAGTCTGCTGGTTGGCTAATAACTGAGAAAGATGAGCATGTTGAGGTTGACTCAGACATTGAGTTCTGGGGGCCTTTGGGATGTAAAACGATTCATGACAGCATTGAAGAAATTTCTTGTCTCCCAGTTCTTCTTGCAAAGTTCTATGAATCAAAGGGGGTGGAATGCAGCACAATTAATCCAGCCTTGACAACAAGCTGCAAGGCTTTTGTCAATGGCTGTGTGATAAACTCTGCGTTAGCTCACAAAGTACAAAGAGAGGCCCACCATGTTTGCCTCCAGTTGCAAGTAAACAAAGCAATAAATGCAAGACCAGGATTGTCTCCCGCTCTAAAAGACTTCTTTGGCAAAGTTGTTCTTTTCTTTGAGCATATTAATGAGAGAAAAAGATGGTCACTTGCTTTGGTCTTGGTGTATAGCACGATGCTGTATAATGGTGTGCTGGTGGTGCGAAATGGACAAATGAAGCCAAAGGTAGTCCATCTGGCACATGTCAAGAAATTGGTTGGGCTGGTGGTATCAGACGTGACAGTAAATACAACAGCAGCAATGACAATGGCATACATAGTGTGGCCAGAACTCAACCGTGGCCCTAAGTTGTCACTTTGTTCTTTTGCTGATATTTAAATTGGTTTTTTTCTGTAATACATTTTTTTTTCAAATTGTCTTAACATATTTTATCCTACCAGCAAAAAGTTTGGATATTTTCTTCTCTCACTATAAGAAAAAAGAATTGCCAGGTTTTTTAAGAAAACCTGGCACACCTAGCAACTTTTTTAATCTCCTACAAGCTTTACCAAATTTAGGTCCCTCTAAACCAATCTTGGTTTTTTTTTGCTTTTGTTTTACATTTTCTTTCTTTCTTTTCTATATTGACACATTGAGACTGTTCTTTCTTTTTACCAAAATGACTTTACATTCAGATAGCTTTTGTGGGTAAGAATAGAAGAGTAGACTGCCTTTTCTTTATGCACTAAAATAAGTGTGATATGTCAGGATTGGAAGTTGCCTTTGAAGCAGCTGGAAGATATCACAAGAGTAGTTTTTCAGAAGAATCAAGATAATGTTTTATTTCAATGAAGCAATTTGTATTTATACTATCTTAAAGGGATTTTGCTAGAAGTTACCAGGTATTGGAAACTTCTAGCAAAGTGTAGTATTTCTGAGAAGGATTGAATTGGATTGGTCAGATTAGGATTCAGATTCTAGGAACAACATACTCATGACAGCACAAAGATAAATAAAGTACAAAGATAGCCAATCAACTTATATAACTTCTAGCTGGGTTTTTAATATAGACTTTGAGATTATTCTGAAATCAATGTCAAACTATTTAATGTTAATAATGTGATTAAGTTTAAGATAAAGTATAATTTATATTTGTATGTATAGAAAAAATGCAAGAAGAAAAAAAAACTATTGGTAATGCGTTGGAGTTGGCCACACTACATGCTGAATGGTCTTGTCATTAGTATCATGAATGAGATCAGCCATCTCTGTTATAGTGGTTGAAGTTGAAGAAGTTTTTAAGAAGAATTGAAGATTTGAGATTAGGAACAAAGATTTGTGAGAACTTGTGTAGGTTTTGTTTATTGAGAAAGATTTGGTATCAAAGTTTGACCAGGTTCCTATACTGAACTACTACTGCTATTTATATTATTTTGGATCGAGAAAATTATATGACTGGGGTCAGGTAATCGATCCTATCTGAGCCTTAATCAGAGCAACGTGATCTTGGGATAATTAATGTATGATTAATTATATAAATGTGTGTAGTCCCAATGAAGTATTAACATCGAAAGTAAATGTGTTTATGAGTTATAATTATGCTTATAATAATCCACTGATGTATCCCATATTATGGTGATATCATCATATGAAATATAATCACTATCATGCATGCTAAACCTGTGTGTTAAATAATAAAGTAATTGGTAGACACCTTTGACTGGAATAGCTGAGGCCTTATATTATTTTCTTCAGACTTATTCTCAATTACAGCAGTAGTCAATACTCATTTACAACATCATTGAAGTAATGCAACAGCCTTTGACAGGAGGTAATATGAGTGATGCCAGTCAAATGTATATAAATGCAGCAAAACTTGCTTCTATACAGGTCTACATCACTTTTGCCAAGTATTGCTTGATAGATAAAGCTATATCAGCTTGGGGTAAGCTGTCAGATAATCAAAAAAACATAATTATCCATAATCTTGAGGAGAATGCTGCCAAGAGAAAGATTGCTCTTAATCAATTTAAGACTTCTTGGAAAGCCTGTTTTTTGGTTTCTCAAAAATAAAAGTCAATAAAATATCATTCAAGATCAAATTAACTAGTAAGTCTTTTAAAAATATTACTAAGGGAGCGGTGCTCCCCCCCCCCCCCCTTTGGAGGGTCCCCCTCCCTCCCCCCTCCCTTTGGGGGGGGGGGCCCAGAGCCTACCAGAAGTTAATATAAAACCCTTCCCTATTGGAAGTCTAAGTACCGTATAGCACAATTAATAGGAACATTTTATTTGAGTGAATTATATGAAAAGAAAGGATATGTATAGATGTTTTATTATTCAAAAAAAATTGGTTAGATGAGTTTATAGTGTATGTTATATATAATTTTTTACTAAATGTCAAAGACTTCCTTAAATACAACATTGTCTGTAAATACAGTATTTGCCGTTTCATTGGAATTTGCTGGTGTATCAAGCATTATCTTGATTGTAGAAGGTTTTCTGACCCGGGATAGAGCAACATACAGCTGGCCATGGGAGAATACTGGGGCAGGGAGATATAATCCAATGCTCTCAAGAGTTTGACCTTGTGACTTGTTTATTGTCATTGCGGATGCAAGACGAACTGGAAATTGGAACCGCTGGAATTCAATTTCATCATTTGATCCAGATGGATTAAGCTTTATTTTTGGAATAAGAGATACTTGCCCAGCATTGGATCCAGGCACAATTGTTGCTCTGATGACAGATGTTCCAAAAGAGTTGCAAATCAGGCGTGTACCATTACAGAGGCCGTTTTTTGGGTCAAGATTGCGAAGAAGCATGATAGAACATCCTTTTTTTAAGCACAGTGAGTGAGGTGGTAGGGATCCAGGATCAATGGTATTTAGTAGCTCAACTGGATATGTTAACTGACCATCTTCATCAATTCTCTGGTTGACGCTCTTAAACTCTTGTGCCTCTCCAGGAAACTGGCCCAGAAGAATATCATTGAGTTTCTTGACATCTTTATTCTTAGGAGTAAGCAAAGTACGGCCCATGAGGAAATGAGGGTTGGCTGTATTAGAGGAGAGATCATGGAAAACTGCTTTGGCCAGATCAGCAGGATTACATCCAGAAAGTAACATATGGGGCAGAATTGAGATGGTGTCATCACCGCCTGTTGTGTGGGCAGAACCACTACCAACTTATAAGAGAAATGCTCCAAATTCCCTAAGCTCTAATGTTTTTTGTTCATTATTTGCTTGGGCAATTTGCATGTTTATTGTAAGCCGCAAGGTTTTCACATTTCTCCATGCAGATGCTTTCTTGATACATTGGCTTACAACCTGAGCTCTCATTGCCTTGGGTATAACAGGAAGGACTTGCCAAAAATCCCCTCCAAAGACAAACAACTTCCCTCCAAATGGAACGTTTTCAAGTAATGGATTGACAGCCTTCATTATATCTTGCATGGATCTGCTTACAGTATTAAAAGCATCTTTACTAATCATAGAAGCTTCGTCCCAGATAACCAATTCCGTTCTTCTAATAAGTTGTGCTATTTGCGAGTTTGCATTGATGGAGCATAAGGAGTTAAGATCAACTTGCACTGGAATCTTAAACCTGGAATGTGCTGTATGCCCACCGTCTAACAGCAATGCAGCAATTCCACTTGTTGCTACTGCAAGAGCAATTTTTCCTTGTTGGCAAGTTTTTTGAAGCAAGGCATTAAAGACAAATGTTTTTCCCGTCCCACCTGGACCATCGACAAAGTACAATTTTGGGCCTCCCACGTTTTCTTCAATTGCACTTAATACTGTTGTATAGATACGTCTTTGTGAATTATTGAATGTCAATGTATCTGGATCTGGCAAAAGCTGGGCTTGATCGCATAAATTTTCTTGTTCTTATATGATGGCTTGAACATCTTGCCTATTTGGGTTAAAGTGCTGGATGTCATGCATTAGTGAAAGAACAAATTCACTGAACAACATGAGAGACATAGAGTTGGCAAATAGATGACTTTCGATATCCCATAAACATCTGTCAAACATATCTTGTGTGGGGACTAACGCAGGAATTCCACTACTTTCTCTTGCCAAATGAAGATAATCTTCAATCATAGAATCACAATGAGCAAGCCACAAAGAGAAAGGATCTGATACTGCACAGAAAATCAAAAGAATAGTAAATAGTCTTTGTAAAGAAAATGGGATCTGATGAGCTGCTGTCTCTTCCATACAGTTACTTTACTCATCATCATTCAAAAGTAATCCCAGAGCACGACATGCAGCTTGGTTTGTTTCATACACATATCCTTCTACTGTACATATGTCTTCAAAGCTTTTGGTCCCTTTAACATTATGCAGCAGTAATCATAACGAATATTTTTCAATATCTCTTGGAGACACTGTGTAAACTCTGCCAATTGTTCCTTTATCAAACCTCTTACGTGCTGTCCATTTTCGTTCTTTTGTATTCCATACATAAAGAGATGGAAAGTTGACGTAAAGAAGTTTTTCAGATGATGGGTGTGTAGCATTATAGTCAAAATATCCCATTAAAGTAGTGTTTTTTCTGGAATTCGCAACATTCTCTGGGTTAGAAGATAGATTATAATATATGGGTTAGGCATTTTCCAGATGGATTGAAAGTCGTTGATGGCTGCGATACTCTTGATGAAGCTTGAAAGAAAATATTCTCCACCATGCTTCAGAATCAGAGACATACCGAGCATCAAGAAACTCATTAACTTTGTTTACATGCTCTTGTTGTTGTTGTGGAGCGGAATTGGTGGGCATAAGCTGCACACAGACTATTGCACGGTCATGTCCTTTATATACATTCTTGTAGAGATATTTTACGGCAGAAACAGAGGTGCTAATCTCAACATTTATATGGGCATTGTATTTTGTACATATGTATCCATTGTGTGGAACAACCTATCTATTATCCATGATCTTTGGCCCTCTTCTAATAACTCTTCCATTTCAACTGCATTAATAAATAGGGTATCTGTTTCCACCATTGCTGGTCTCATTGCAAAGCTTTTTAAGATAATTCTTTGAACAGATCCCATTCTTCATGCATGATGCTTTTGGATATTTCTTTCCATATGGGCCATGCATCATGCATTGTTTTACTGTTTCATATGCCAATGGCTCAGTTTCAGGATCTGGGATTTCAGCCAAAACTATTTTGTCAAAATCTTCTATTGTTTTTGGTTTATCTTGTGGTTGCAAAATCAAAAGAATGTGGACATGAGAAAGTCCACGCTTTTGGAATTCAATGACATATATAAAGACCAAAACTTTCCCCAGAATATTTTTTTGTAAGGTCAATCATGAACTCTTTGAGCTTCATATTGAAAACCCGAGAACAAAGATCTGGTCTGTCATTAGCTTTTTGCCCAGCCAACAGGGAATTTGTGATTTCTGGCCACTTTGAATTGCAAGTGAAAGTTATGAACAAATCAGGCTTGCCAAAACGACGCACAATACTCATTGAATCTTGATAAAGTTGAGCCATATACCAGAGGCTACCAATAAAAGAATATGGAAGAATAGCTTTCTTTCCAAGATTTGCAAGATTACAATCGTTATGGATAACAGCATCCTGAATTCCACTATAAAGATCTACATGGAGACAATTTTGATTGCTGGTGATGAAGTACAACCGATTGTGCTCAACTTTGGTGTACATATCAACAATATATTGTTGAAAGAGATGGCCAAAAAGATAGAGAAGGTGCTGTGTGTTGCGTCAATACATCAAACGGTTTGAGTACCATTGCATTACTGTAACATGCTCTTCTGACAATGAGCTGGCATCAATGGTCCAACCATCTTCACCATGTGGAAAGAGTAGCACATAGTGTAAAGCATCATAAGATTGGTGGTACTCATTGATGTTCTGTTGGAAGTTGGCTCTGGTGTGCAGCACAATGTCTCTTGAAGTACCCTCTTCATTATTCATAATAAGAACTGCTATTTCACTTGCAGTTGGAGCATTGTACCATCTTTGATCCTGAGGCCCCTCAGCTACTAAATGCAAAGTGAGATCTATAGATTGTCTCTTTTCCCAAGAAATTTGATTCATTGTTCTGAAGAGATGTACGAATGGATTTGTTTCCATAAGAATGGACTGAATCTTTTCCAAAACACTTCTCTCCAATTGTGAGGAATGGTACTGTCTTTGATCTATCTGAGCAGCACTATCATAAATATAGATCTTAGCAAATTTTGTGTGAGTGATATCAGATTCTGTTACTGGCAAAATAGATCCAATTCTATGACAAATTGTTCCGTGAATCCAGAAGTTGTATGCCCCATTGATATTGTTGCCAACAGAGGTATCAATTTTAGCTCCCAAAGAAGTAAAGCTCATTGTACTATTATAGCTTTGAATATTTTCAAGAAACTTCTTTCTATCACGTGTTCTATAGTTCAAAAGCTCAGCAATTCCTGTAGGTGTTGGCTCAATTTGGGGGAGAACATGCTTTCCTTTGTTACAACACATAGAGAACATAGAGCTTCTTAAAGAAGAACGACTGTTTTTTTCATGTGCCCACATCATTGCCCCACAAAATCGACACTCGATATCCATATCTCCCCTGTTATTAACTGCTGGTTCTGAAATAGCTGGAAGTTGGGTAATATTATTCAAGCCTCTGCCTCGATTTCTAGATCCTCTTGCTCTGCTACTGTTATTGTTTGGACAAAATCTGCTTGTAATTTGGCAATGATCAGTTCCGTTACAGTGAGGACAATGGAGTAAAATTGATCCTCTATTCACAGTTGAAATCTCCTCGACTTATTCTTCTCTTCCAGTCACTTCTTCATTGGATGAAGTCTCCTCAATCTCTTCTTCCATGACTGCTTCAAGAACTTCAGTAATAGTCTCATTTGCAAGTGGAAATTCAGTCAACTCAGAAACTGAAATAGAAGTCAATGTTTCTATGTCCAAATTTTGGTCTTGGACAGACTCACTTCTTATTCTCAAGGCAGCAGCTATTTTTTTATAAACATATTTATTATTAAAAAATATATATAATACTTGCAGTAATACGCATAAGTGTATAAATAAATAGTTACTTCAGCTACTTTCTGCAGGATATTCATTTACATTAGTTTTCTTTTGAGGAATGTGGAGGGAAATGTTCTTTGGGTTCATGAGACATTGCTTATGAGTACTTCTGCTATGTCCAAGCATATGGCAAGCAGCACAACAACGTTGAGTAGATGACATTTTATTTTTTGGTTTTTTTTTCAAAGTTAGAGTTTGGTTTGATAGTTGTATAAGTTTTTTGGCAATAGTTTGTAAAATAAATTCAAGGGGTTAATATCTCAGTATATCATGTGACATAGTAATGTCAGGAGCGGATTGGAATTGGCACTCAGTTCCAATCCTACCCAATCAGGAACAACTACTCCAACCGCAGTAGTTGGGTAAGCAAGGCCAAGAAGAAGAAGACAAACGTTGCTCAGCAAGATACCACAGCAAAAGGACTTAGCTAGAATCTAGGATACTGTGGCATCTTATAAATTAATATAAATATTACAAATATTATCACAAATAAACATTATTTTTATCTTCATATTTCATTCTATCATATTATCTTATTGTGTGACTTTTTGTACATTACAGTAAAAGTGCTAGATTTTAGATGTAAATAGATGTTTTACAGGCAAATTTGTATATCACATGATGCTGCTAATTTTGATTGATTTTAGATATATAAATAGCATATATAAATACAAGCATAACTAATTCAAACAATTTTTTTTCTTTCTTTTTAATGAAGTAGATAATACAGTATTTCACACAAACATTTATAGAGCATATAATAAACACATTTTTTTTTGCTTCAAATCTAATTGCTGTTAAATATGAATTATAATTCATTTATTGCATATACTTCTTCTATTCTTTTTTGTTTTTTTGTTTTATTTGTTTATTTTAGTATTTTATGCTATAATAAAAAATCTATAAATAAAAAATATTTTGTCTATTATGCAATATATATTTTTGACTAATTGGAGAGCTGAAATATTATACTAAAAAAGTCTAGATTATAATAATACTTGTATTTTATTGGTTTAATAAATCCCAGAACTTTATTATTCTACATATCTGATTTGGTTAAATAGGCAAAACTGATTACTATATACTGAATCTCTATTGGCTCAGAAGAATGTTGCCAGGTTGGCAGTTTAATACCTGCCATTTCTTACAGTGAATACACTCTTTCCAGAAATTATTGGTGCAAAAATAAAAATCAATTTAGTGCAGTTTTTTAACATTTCTCTGCTTAATTCATGTTATATTTGGGTTTAATTTTAGAGAAGAGACAAAGAAATAAAGTGAGACTTTGTATAGTGGTTTTATTGAAAGAGAAAAAGAGAAAGTTGGTATTGGTTGAGATGGTCTTCTAAATATGACAGTTACACCCTTTTTATAAGACTTCTTTACTCTCAGGTCCGTATTTATCATTGACTTTTAAGATTAATGCTGTCTTTTTGATAGGACTTGTTTTATAAATATTTATATGACTGTCAAATACAACAATTCATCTTTTTTGGTGCATTTGGTGCATTCCATTTTTGCAGCAAATAATTTTTTATTTTTGCACCAATAATTTCCGGAAAGAGTGTATTACAAATTATTATAAACTGATTATAAATTTCTAAAATTATAAACTGATGAACAATCATGTTGTAAATGAGTATTGACTACTGCTGTAATTGAGAATAAGTCTGAAGGAAATAATATAAGGCCTCAGCTATTCCAGTCAAAGGTTTCTACTGATTACTTTATTATTTAACACACAGGTTTAGCATGCATGATAGTGATTATATTTCATATGATGATATCACCATAATATGGGATACATCAGTGGATTATTATAAGCATAATTATAACTCATAAACACATTTACTTTCGATGTTAATACTTAATTGGGACTACACACATTTATATAATTAATCATACATTAATTATCCCAAGATCACGTTGCTCTGATTAAGGCTCAGATAGGATCGATTACCTGACCCCAGTCATATAATTTTCTCGATCCAAAATAATATAAATAGCAGTAGTAGTTCAGTATAGGAACCTGGTCAAACTTTGATACAAAATCTTTCTCAATAAACAAACCCTACACAAGTTCTCACGAATCTTCGTTCTTAATTTCAAATCTTCAATTCTTCCTCTTAAAAACTTCTTCAACTTCAATCACCACAACAAATCATTCTAATTCCTGCTTCTTTTGTAATAACAAGTCATTAGAACTTGTATCACAAAAATTAAGCCCAACAAGAAATGCCAGATTGAGACTTGACAAAATAATTGTCAGACATTATTTTGATGAATCCGAGAAATCGGGATAATTGACCGCAGCAGTTCTGTATGTCAAAGATACCTCATAGATAACGAACCGCAGTAATGTCTTGTAAAGATCAACCACAGTAACATCTTCTGAGCATCAACCGCAGTAAAAGGACTTCTCTTGTAATTAAATAGAGTATAATAGTTTACTGCGGATAATGCGCAGTATTAGTTTAGAAAACTATATAAGACAATTCAATTCCTATCAATAAAAAGCATCTTTGATCCTCTCTTTGATTTTACGTATACTCCTTGATCCCCAGTGGGTTTGACCTTTTGACTTTGTTATAGTAAAAGGAAGACCAACCCAGATCGGGAACGACAAATGTCCAACAAGGCAAAAATATAACTGAAATACAGAAGATTTACATAATTCGTTTGTAAGTGGAGAAGCTGGGCGTCGATCCCAGTGCCTCTCGCATGCTAAGCGAGCGCTCTACCATTTGAGCTACATCCCCATCTCTCTTTCACGTAAGCTACTGTTACACAAGACATAACAAAAAAATTGGTTGCATCCATACGAAAGCTTCATCAATCCGTCCTACATCTTGTTCAAAACGTTACATCCATTGTCAAAAACATTGCATCCATTACCACTGTTGCCTTATCTATCAGCAGAAAAAATTTCAGCCGATTCCGACAACTCTTCATTTTTGCGATCTCAAATGTCAACATTGCTGCCATCCTCTGTCATGCAGGGAATGTCACCCGATCTCGCCTCATTTCTGGGGAACATGCAGGCCCAATTCATGTCACTACAACAACGTACCAATGAACTTGAATCTCTTGCCGCAACTAATGCTAAATTAACTGCTCAATTAGTTAATGCAGAAAAGCTAATTGCTGATCTCAGATCTCAATTAGCATCTCAGGGCAATTGCCAAATTACAACAAATGCATCAACATCATCTGCACCAACCACACCCAAGGAGCCTGGCACTGAGGCTTCTACATGGGCTACAACTGCTGCTGCTGCTCACAACTCTGTTGTTGTTCCTACTGCTCTTTCTGTTTGCAAGACTCCAAGACCTCCTTCTGTTCGCCAGGTTGCTGCTTCTGCTAGAATGTTTGCCATTCCCACTGGTCCCAAAGGATATCAATATGTGTATATCCCACGTTCACGTCGTCTCACACATAGAGAAGTGCGCAACTCTTTGAAAACACTTGGTGTTGATACTGGCCGCATCTTGGATATCAATTTTCCTGCCAAGGATGTAGTTGGCATCCTAGTTCACAACCAGTATGCTGAGAAATTCCAGACCACTCTGACCACAGTTGCCATTGAGATCTTAGATGCGTTTGACCCTTTGGATCCCAAAAACATTGCAGATCCCAAATATAAGTCTCTTTCTGATTCAGAGCTAGAAGAAGTTGCTGCTGAACTTCATTCTGATCGTTGTATGAAGGCTCTCAAGTACCTTCGTCCTCATGTTGCTGTTCCTGTTGGTCATTTCTTTTGTGATCAAGGCTGGATCTCTAAGGAAGATATTCCTGTCCATTCTGTTTCTGGTCCTGGTGCTGGTATTCATGATTTCCAATCACCATCTCGTCGTACCTCTGTTGCAATGTCTGAATGAGTGAAATCTCATTAGGACTTTGGAATGCTAATGGTCTGCAGCCTCGTGCAATTTATGATGTTCTTCAACACTGTCACTCTCTACATATGCTTTTTATCACTGAAACATGGCTTCTTCCCCCATCTCGTCTCCCCACTTCTTGGTCCCAGATTCATCTTTATGGTTCACCTGTAGCTGGCAACTACAGAGGTTCTATGGGTGTTTCTGTTCTTATTTCTCCATCTTGTCCTTATCCTGTCACTCAGATTCCTATGTCATCTAATTATGCTTTAGCCATCAAGATTGGTTCCCTCAGAATTGTATGCCTGTACTTACCGCCCTCTATGTCCACCCATGATGCTCTTGCAGTTCTCTCATCCATTCCTTTGACCAATGACACTATTATCTGCGGCGATTTTAATTCACGTTTGGGTTCACTTACTGGTGACTATGCTACTAACACTCGAGGTCTTGCTCTTTGTCAATGGTTAGAAGAACGTGCTCTTACTGTTGTCAATGGCCAGCTCTCACCATGCATACCTACATTCATTTCATTCCGCCAAAATGTGGAGATAAGCAGTATCATTGATCTGTTTATCACTAATATGTCCCTCACCAATGCCACTCTCAACATTCATACCGACCTCTCACTCAACTCTGACCACCGTCTGCTTTCACTTTCATTTACATATGCCATCAATCCAACATCACATGCACCATCACCATCTCGCAAAACATGGAACCTCTCACGTCTTCAAGAACCTGATGTTCTCAAACTATATGCCCACACATTTGTCACTAATTCCACCAACCTCAAATCCACTTTGCAATCGACCTTCGAACACCCTCCTTCCTCACGTCCACCAATTGATGCACTAACTGATGAATTCAACTCACTCATTTATAATTCTTTAAGTAGCTCAATTGGCAACCGTCCTCCCCGTCCTTCCCACTGGAAAAAATTCTGGAATCCAGTACTTCAAGCAGCTGCAGAGCACCGCAATTTCTGCTACAAGAAATGGCGCCGTGCATGTGGTATAGACAGAATTCATTGGTGGGATAAGCATCTCAAAGCGCAGGCAGAATTCCGACATCAAGTGCAATCATCTAAGCGCCAATCATGGCATGCTTTCTGCAAATCAATGGAACAAGACTTTTCCAAAGCAACATCAAAGATCAAACTACTCAAACGCCGACGGCAGTCTCAGCACATGTTTCAACATAGTGATGGACCAGCAACAGCAGCAACAATTATGTGTGAGCATCTTGCATCTGTATACAGTGGCAGTATCCTCCCAGATCAGC